CATTGTTTAAAAGAATCACTATATCCCAGGGGAATCAGGAAATTACACTTTGTTTATTGGGTTTGCCTTTTCCCATAAGTAGACAGAGCCATATAGCATCTGATTTCCCTGTGAGGGAAGACACAGCTTGAAAAAGAGCCCTGCCAATGGGCCACAGGGCCATTAATTAATTAAGCAGTAAGATGAGGAGGGTCACTTAGGGTCATTAATGCATGCCTACAATGCCATTGGAGTGTCTGGTTAATACCATAGGGCCTGAGCCCACAAGAGTTTACATCCAGGCACGGGACTTGACACTTGTGCTGCTCTGTTTGCACATTAACATTGCCATTTGTAGGTGCTGGAATGTCCTGGGCAGCCTGAACACAACCCCTTCCTTTTTGGGGGTAATGGGGTGAGAGAGGGATGGGAGACCTTCATTTTAAATCTACTTTCATGGAATTGTTTCACTTACAAAATCTGTCATTCCATAGAATATTGAAAAGGATCACAGACATACATGTTGCTATTAGAGTAGTGCTCTGTGAGCACTATTTCTACAGATCCCACAGCAAGGAATGAAAAGAAAAGGTATTCCTAAGACTCTTCTGATTTTCTGAACTGGTTCAGGCAACCTGGAAAACCACCACCCTCTACCTGGTCTGCATTTTGTTAGCAGCAGTTGAACAGTGGCCTTGTGAGAAAGCACAGGGCTTTCCCTGGTTCATGGGGAACCTGAATTCCTGACTTCCAGTCCTTGCAGTCCCAGAGGTCTCCTCTGAGCCCTTCTTTCCTTCTCTTTGAATTAAACTTACCTGTTTCAAACTACATTGTTTTTCAATACATCACATTTCAAAAATGACAATTTGAAATATTTCACTTTCAGGTGAATATACTGAAGAATAACAAGCTTGACCAGACAAGCGGTAACATGATCTTCATAAAAGCAGCTGAACAAAACAAACCATAAATAAATTGGGTGTTTTACTGGTTCACTCACACCCACTATGGCCAAACATCCAATTTAAGGTCAGTTATGATTGCTTCCCTGTTGAATGGACTTCCCTTTAATTAGATATTCCACAGGCAATGTTTTAACAGCTAGTTATTTTATTACTTTGTTGGGGAAGTAGGAATAAATCAAAAAATTTGGGATGAGGCAGCTCTGTGTAGTTCTTTCCCACTCCAGAATGGAATGGGTCTCTGTCCTTGCCATCTACTGCTCCTTAGATAAGGTATCAGCAGCAGGAGTCTTAGGGAAAATTAATAATAGTAGTAGTAGTACTAGTAGTAGTAATAATAATAATAATAGTAATAGTAATAATAGTAATAATAATAATAATGATGATGATGATGATGATGATGATGATCTTTGTGTTCTGTGGCTTGAAGATAGAGATCCCCAAGAAGTTTCTACTTAATTTCAGAAGTTTCATTTCTTGCCAACCAGTGTGGTCAGTGTATCAACATAAACACTTCCTTTAGATACAGGCTTGTCTGTACTCTTAGTTCAATATCAGCACCACCACAGTTATACCAATATTTTCCTCAGTTAGGGAAATGTTAGACCAGCAAAAGAGTATTTAAAGAAGCTTAATATCATCCACACATGAACTCTATCCCTGTAAATAAATGAGCATCAACTTTGGGTTTAGGCAGAGCTGGAACAGAATTGTCACTGTGAAACTGTGCAGCACAGGGAAGGAAATGGACTCATCTCCAGTGCCACATCCACACCAAGTTCCTTCACTCTAACCTTGAGAGTACAAGCTAAGGAACAACATTTCAGCTACATGGAGTGATTAGATTATGAACACAGTGATTAGATTAAAGCAGATGACTTGGAAGTCAAACTGCTGCATCCCCACTGAATTACCATCTCCAGCTGCAGCAGAACTCCCCCTTCCAGTGCTCCCCACAGCCCCAGCTTTAAGGACTTCTTTAAGTCTTTAGACACCAAGTAATCAAAAGACAAAATTTCCATTTTGCCTCCTGTTGTACCAAAGCCAGTGTGCCCTCATAGAACCAGGGTCTGTAATGATTGTAAACAGCTTTTCATTGGTCACAACACCTCACAAGTGACACAGCTATACAAGGGGACATCCAGCTTACCAGGGGCATCACAGGCTGAGCAACAGCAGCTTTGAGGGAGACCATGTCCTCCCATCTCCTCACCAGCAAGCAGGACAGAAAGAAGGGAAAGAAAACCAAGCACAGTTTAAAGCAGTGAACATAACACAGTGAACAGGCACAAGATTGTCACCAGCACAGCTCCAGGGGCCAACTGAGAACCAAGGGGCTTCAGCTGGGCATGGAAACTTCAGTGGCAAAGTTGAAACTCTTCAGCTCAGCTCTTCTAATCACAGAATCACAGAATATCCTGAGCTGGAAGGTCCCACAGGATCATCAGTCCAGCTCCTGGCCCTGCACAGACACCCCAACAATCCCACCCTGTGCCTGAGCCTTGTCCAGCTCCTCCTGGGGCTGTGCCCATTCCCTGGGGAGCCTGTTCAGCCCTCTGGTTTAACTTTCTAAAATTGATTTTGTTTCTGTTCTGTGAATTAAAGTAACACACTGGAAACACTTTTAAATTAACACAAAAAAGATTTCCTAAAAATGCTGCATAGGCAGTCCCTACATTGATGCAGGTGCAGGAGAAAAAACAGAGGACACCAATACTCCTTGGAAAGGATTGGAGGATGAAGGCCGTTGTTTCTGCAAAGAGGGTGTTTGGGTTTGATTTTTTGAATATAACAATGCAAAAAAAAAAAAAAAAAGTCCATCCTTATCAGCAGCTCTTAGAACAGTATTTGGCTGATTTAAGCCACAGAATGATCATTCTGCTGAGCCTACCTACCCCCATCTGATCCCAATGAGCTCCCAGCCAAGAGCACTGTCCTGCACTGACCTGAACATTTCAGGGGAGTTATCAGCCTTAGTTCATTTTCTTCCATTCCCAAAGAAACAAACAAAAGAAAATGTATGTTCAAAACTGTTTTAACTCAACAGAACCTTCCTCACAGAGACAGTATTATCACAAGAGTAAACAAACTGGTGGTTTCTATCCAAAGTACACAAATTTATCTGAGGAATTCATGATTCATTTCCAAATTCAGTGTATTGTGTATCCTGTTATTTACCCAAGAAACACTGGCAAAGCATAAGATATGTGGGAATCACCTGCTTTATTCAACCCACCACAGTTTATTTCAGTTTATAAGGGATTCATGATCTCTTCAGTTTCTCCTCTGCAATCCTTATTACAATATAGTTGAAAATATGTATTAATACACAGGTACTTTCTTTTCTTTTTTTAAAGCCACATTTTAACCAAAAATGGGAAGAAAAAAAAAAGAGGGGAAAAAAAGAAATCTGGAGTGTTTTTATTGGTGTCTTAAGGCATAACAAACTCCAGCAATTTATTTCACCACATCCAGTTGTAATGCTAAACCACAGATAAACATTACTAATGGAACAAGAATGTGCTCCTTCCTTCTGATGGAGGTCCAAGATTGCCCTTTGGAGTTTGCCAAACAGCATGGGGCACTTCATTCACCATGTGACTGGCACACACTGCAGTTCTGAATCAGTCTGGGGATGAAACTGTTGGCTAAAGCTCTGGAAATTCTGACTCTGGAGCTGTCAGGCAGGCTGTCTTTACTTTGAGAAAATGCAATTCTTTTTAATAGCACTATGTTACTTGGCTTTTTATTTGGTTTTACATTGTTCATTGATGTTTTGGATTTTGATGTATTGTGTAGCACCCCAAGAACTCTAAGAGGGGGAACTCCATTAAAAAAAATGAGTTTATTATTTCAACATGTGCTAATAAACATGCTACACGTTTGGGGAATCTAATCCCATCTATTTTGATGGCACACAAAAAGGCCTTCAGCCACTGCATGCTGATAGCAAAAAATGCATCTGTTCACTGAAAGGCAGAAATGTCATTTTTTAACTGAGTTCATGTTCAAGGCAGCTCTTACAATGCAGGGAATTCTAAGGGTCAAGGGTTTATTTTTTCCATTTATCTTGTAAAAAAAGGAAATTATCTCATAAACTTATGATTGATTGATTTTTTTTAAGTCAACTTTATTTTGCATAGCAACAAGCTTATTTGTAGGATATTTTAGGACACATAGCTTAGCTTATTATTTTATTGATATTAATGGAAATGATCCAGAAGAGGAAAACACATCATCTGGAGGTCTGACTCTAGGTGTGACTCAACTGCCTGCCACATCCTAACATCAGGGAATATTCTGGGAGAAGAGTGCTTGGAGGACTGGGTTTGAATTATCTTCCTTGGGGACATGCAACTATTAAATCATGAGCTCTTTTTAAGATCCAGTTCACCCCAAACTCAAACCTCCATGCAACCTTTCACTTCAGCTCAACTTTTTTCCCTCTTACAGCCATGAATCAAATTTTTAAGTGCACAAATGTTGTTCACAGCACTCCTTCTTTTTTCACTTCTACAACTGCTGTGCTTTTACCAAACAGGACACTGATTTTGCACAGCAATCTAAAGCACAGCTTCTTTTTTCTCTGCTTTCTCTAATGGCTGGTCACCTGCCTTCTCAGCCATGAAACCTCTCCGAAATGTTTCTCTCTTGCCTGAGCACACAGGGGTTTGGCTCCCTGCTGTGGTAACCCCTCAAGGATCCAGGTCCATTATGCTCCTGTGTCAGTGGAGGTGCTGTCAGCTGCCTGAGGTACAGCCCTGCCACTGATTCAGAAGCTGAAGGAGCTTTTGTGTCAAGATGAGGGTCAACCAGTATCAGGTAACACAAGCACAATCCCTATCTGTGTTCTAGCAGACAGATGTCTAAAAATATGCACAATCTTGTTTTTCCTTGTAATGCTCCTCTTCTTTAAAGGTTTTCTAGAATTATGTTCTCAGATTAATATCAGGTAATGAACTCTCAACGTACTGCCACGTGCACTTCACTCAAATGTTTATTCCTCCACCGTTGGTCTGAGTGGTGAACAGCTCACATTTGCTCGGTGGGGTGTTCCAGAGGTGTTCGGCTGATTAAGATGTCTGGGATGGCTTCAGGGCTTTCTCATCCTCAGTAGCAGCTTTGCTGGAGCTCTGTTTGTGGTCGCTGTGGCTCTGGCAGTGGTGTTTGGGGTAGCGCCTGTGGGACTGCTCCTCCTTCCCGGGGCTCTGACCCGACACAAACGTGCTCTGGTACACGGTGACGAAGCCCTCGCGGCTGCTCCGGCCCGGCGCGCGAGACCACTCAAAGAAGTTATGGGAGTTCTGTCTCTGCTTCTCTGGGTCCAACTTCCTCACGCCCATGCCCTGCAGGAAAAAAAAAGGAAACTAAAATTCATGCAACCATATGACTTCCAGTCACAGCTTCACAGATGAATCTTGTAACAGTCACTGCCCCACTGGGAAGTGAACGAAGCTGTTACCGCAGTGACTGCAAGAACTCACGGTCGACCTTTAGCAAGTTAAAAATAATATTGTCAGACTTGCCTGTATGAACATTTTTGGTTGCATATATAATGGGAAATCTGCTGACCTTCCACCTCTCAGAGCTAATAAACCACTTTTACTTTGCATTTCTGTAGCACACCAGCTACTCAAGGCTATTTTACTTGGCTAAATTAATCTTCAGAGGCACCCATAGAAATAGGTTAATAATTCTAGGTTTGGACTGCAATAAAGAAACTGAGACAGACCATGAAATCTGAATCTTCAGTGCTATCCCTTGTGTGTCCAAACACAGAAAGACAGAGCCTGATTTTCACACTCCACAGCTCACAGGAAATCTAGCTGGAATTATGGTTGATCAGTATCTCTAAAACAATGAGACACTGCCCAAAGTGCACAGAAATTGAGGTTACTCAGTGAATAATGAATTCCAAAAAGTCTAGGCCTGACAGAGCCCAAAATCAGACAAACTCCCTATATCACAATTCACTGCTTCCTCCTTTACTCATTATCCTGTGAACTGCACTGTTTCTTCTGCTGCCTGGAACAATACCAACAATCTAAGGGGAATGGAAGCGTTGCCCACAGAGAAAAGCCCCAAAAAAATTTTAATTCTAGTCAAAGTTGTGGCTTCTGCAGCATACATTTAAACAGGTGTATTGTAAAGAATTCAAAGAATGCATTCTTGAGATATATTGTGGGTATCCTATGGATTTTGTTTAAATTTATGATAAAGATGAGTCTGAACCAAATATTTGGGACCGCAAATTAGAAGTTGCTGAGATATCTACAGAAATTCATTGCAAGGCAAATCACTTAGAGCAGACTAATAGGACATTTAACTGGGTACCAAACCAAAACAGGAATATTAGAAAATACCAGAAAATGTCAGAGACCCAGATCATGGCTTTTTGCTTCCCTTTGAATCACACCATCCTCAATGACTGTATGTGCTGCTGCACATCTGTGACAGTCCCACAGATGTTCCAGCCCTCTACTAATAAAAAGTGTATTTTTCTTTGCTATTTACATTTTTCTCTTCTCACAGTTTTAGCATCTATTTTCTCTGTTTTTCTTTCTTTTTTTTTTTTTAGGGGACAGAAAAGATGCTGTGTTTAATCTCTGGCAGACCAATAGATCTGAAGTTGCCTGATTTGTCACAGTGCTGGGTACTCACCAGGTCAAAATACTCGACTGCATTGCATATGTCGTGTCTGTTGTCATGAGAAGAGAATGGGAAATTGTTGTTTCCTGCTTTCTGCAAGAAAAGAAATTATAGCAAAAAAAGAAGAGAATTTTAAACTCTGTTTGGAGTCTATTAGTCTTTATTCTTATATTGTGAGATTACAGCTGCCTTTGTTCTAGCACAGAAGTCATATTCCTATATTAAATATTCACCTACACGTGATTTTATAGCCATAATGTGGACTTTTAATTTTTTTTTTAAATAAAATGACCAGGAGGATTTGCTGAATATATACATGATTAATATAAAAGTGCGAATTTTCAAATAGGAAATGATACATTCTGTCTGCAAAGCAGCAAAATGCTAGATATATGTCAGGATTGCCTTCCTTGATTTAGCAGTAGGCCTAGAGCTAATTAAAATAAACTACAAAAGGGACCTCAAAACTGAATTAGTCTGTGATTTATGAACTGAATGTCATGGACACTGCTTGTTGCAGGGGAAGCTGAAGAGGTATTAATTACTTAACTAATTTATAATCTCATTCTTTAACATGATGTTCATCCAGTCTCTAAATGAAAGCAGCGTTTCAGAAGAAAAAAAAAGACAACTGCAAAAAGTGCTATTTTAGAAATACTGAACATATCTGACTTTTTAAATGTTATCAGTGCAATATCCCAACTGTGATATTCCACTCCAAACAGAAAAGGAAGTTTTAATGTGACACAGTGTAAAAGAAGTGTCTCAAGAATAGGGGAACCTGAATGAGTTCTGAAGATCAATGTGACTGGAGGCCTGATCCAGCAAGAAAATTCACAAAATGTGCCTGCACAGGGTCAGCTCCATGGTCAGATCTCAGGATAATTGGTTTACTAGGCAGGTTCTCTTCCTTTTTTTTAAGGTATATTTACCAGTTGATAAAACCTACCCTTTTCAGGCAGTGGCTAAGGCCAGATGTTCCACAGAAAGGTGGATGTAATATTAACACAGTGTATACTCATGTTACAGTATAATCTCCTTTTCATAGTCCCAAGCTTCCCTTTTAAATATTCCTTTCAAGCCCTTCATTTCTGCCCTTCACTATAGCAAAACCAGTGAAATGAACCCACTGTAATTGCTGTGCTTATAGAAAATGAAAATAGAAAATGTTCGGTGCCCAAAGAGGGTGGGTAAAGCAAAGCTCAGTGTGATGATAAAATAAGGACATGAAAAGGTGCTTACAACACTGCAACTTTTTAAATACTTGTGATTTTTAAAAATACTGTATTTCCTTTCATCACAAAATTTTTCATAAGTCCCATTTTTAATCAAGCCTTAAAAATGTTTGAAATGAGGAGCTTCCAACTTTTTAATGATCAAAAAGAGCACTCCTTTGTGTGAATATACTGAATTTCCAACATTCATTGCCAAACAGCTGATCAAATGTCCATTAAAACTTCTTTACGCACAGGCTGTGGGCTGAGATTGATCATAATGTATTCGGTGTCTCAATAATAAAAATCAGCAGTAATACAGCAGGACTCGGAGCAACTAAAATTATGAGTGAATAACAGGGAAATATGTTTCTTCCGCAGCACAGGCAGCAATCACTCCATCCCCCGAGGCACAAAGTCTGCCAGCCCGCTGTGACTGCTCCGCTAAGGACCCCGAGTGCTGCTCTTACTCACAACTCAGCGAGTGACAACTTGCAAAAGAGCTCCGAAAATCGGCTGCGCTGCACAGGAACTCACCTGCACCCGAGCTTTGTATTGCAGCGGCATCCTGTGTTCCTGGCCCACAGCGGCTACGGAGTTCAGGACATGCTTTAGTGAAGCGCTTGTTACTGATTCCAGCTCGCCCAGCTCCAGTCCGTCGTGAGTGAACTAAAAATTAATGAAGATTATGAGCCTTTAAAATAAAAGCCAGCTGGGAAAAAAAAAAAAAAAAACCAAAACAAACAAAACCCACATAACAAATAAATCTGATCAGAAATGAGGGCAAAATGGTATTTTCCCGTTTATTTTTTATTACTTGGATTGCAGCAGCACCTAGTGGCGCCTGGAAAAATGAGGAGTCTCCCACACACACAACACAAACCCTACCATAAAGACGTTCAAACGTAGATAAAACAACCAGACAAGAATTTTAGGAATCTTCAAGACAAGAATGTCCAGGAGCTTTCTGGAAACTGTTCACACAGCAATAACCACCAAGGAAAACAACGACCTTCTAACCCCCCTTCCCCATGCTTTTACATGTACAAACTTGTAGTACAAGTTTGAAAGCACAAAACTTTTGGGAACAGCTCAACCCAACATCAGGCCAAAGGGTTCAGAGAGTGAGGAGCAGCCTGTGCCAGCAGTGTCACAGTGCCCTGGGATGCCAACATGTCCCAGCCCAGCGTTTCTGATGGGATCACAGCGCTCTCCTGGAGGCGAGAACTGAGGCAAACCTTGGCTGGAGCTCTCCAGAAGAGAAGGTAAATCAACCCGGGCTAACTATCAAATAAGAGACCTCCAACTTTGTGTGTGGGGGGGGGGGAATGAAAAATCCAGCCAGGGTTGGTTAACAAGCCAGAACTTTTGCACACTGAATACGTAGGACACTTTCCTCGTAAACCTCAGGCATGGGAAGACTCATTCCTGACTAGAGGACAAAGTTACCCTTAGCACGGTACTTTTTCTGAGAGTTTAGGGATCCAGGAGCCCTGTGGGGGACACGGGGGCTCCTGCTCGGCCCTTACCCAGTCGCTACTGTGCCCCCCGCTGTGCTCCGGCCCGTCCTTAGCCATGGCTCGATGTCACTGCCGCTGCGGTCACTCTGCCAGCGCCACCGCGGTTCCCTGGAGACGCGCTCGGGGGGCGGCCGGGCTGTGGAACCTCCTCCCCTGTGACCTCAGAGCCCTCCCGGAGATCCACACAACCGGGAGCAGCGCTGCTGCTGCTGCTGTGCTGCAGGGCAGAGGGGAATAACAGCTCCTGGGAGGAGTTGGAAATGTTGGAATGTTGGAAAGAAATCAGTTCTGCACAGTCGCTTCAGCGACACTTGACTGCCTGAATAGGAACGGGTGGGGAAAGGAGAGCTGGTTTTGAGGAAAACCCAAAGGAAGTTAGAGAAAGAATTTTTAAGATGGAACTTCCTCCTCTTTTGAAAATGGCTTTCCACATACACACATCTTAATTGAACACACCCCCAATATTTACAGAAAACCTGGCTGCGTCTTAAGGATTTTTTTTCTTTTAAGTGCCGGCTTGAAAACATCCCAACTATTTAACTGCAGCACACTTGGCCACTGTAGCACAAACCAAGACTTTGCCTCCTTGGCCTTGACAGACTGGAAAGAAGATGACACTTGTGTCCTTTTTGTCTTCAAACTGACAGAGACTAGATTTAGATTGGATATTAGGAAGGAATTGTTCCCTGGGAGAATAAGGATGCCCAGGGTGCCCAGAGAAGCTGCAGCCCATGGCTGGGGTGGAACTGGATGATCTTTAAGTTCCCTTCCAGCCCAAACCATTCTGTGATTCCATGATGTATATCTCTGTGTGTGTGTATACATATAAAGATATATGTGGCTATAGATACAGATACAGATGTAATTTTTGAGGCAACCAGCATTTGTACTCCCTGACCAGTCATGAAGCGTACTGCCTCTTGCAGTTTAGAGAATGAAGAATACCATCTACATGGAAAATAATAAATATTAAAAATCCCACGGGCACTGTTTAGGAATTACTTGCTTACTGAAGCCATCAGAGCTCAGCTTTTGTTGAACTCAGTGTACAGAGGGCAGGACACAGCAATTTTCAATCCTCTCCCATGCTGAGGTACCCCACCACCAAATTTTCGCGTGTTTCATTAAGGTCCCAGTTATCCAGTCAAACAAGCCTGGAGAAAGGGAAGCTCGGGGGGACCTTCTGGCGCAGCGGTGAATGGCCTCAACCTGTGCCAGCGGAGATCTATACGGGAGATTCGGGAAAATTTATTCATGGAAAGAGTAGCCAAGAATTGGAAGGGGCTGCCAAGGGAGGTAGTGGAGTCCCATCCCTGGAGGTGCTTCAGGACGTGACACTGCGTGCTTCGGTGTAATTGACAAAGTAGGGATCGCTCACAGATTCGCCATGTATTTTTCCGACCTCATAACCTCTCTCTAACCCCGCCGGCAACGCCACACCCGCCCCTCACGGAGCCACTGCCGCCGCCTCCCGCCCTTCACGGCACCGCCCTCAGAGCCCGCCCTTCCCGCGCCTTCTCGAAAAGTCTCGCGAGAGGCGGCGGTTCCCGGCCGGACGCCCCCGGGAAGCGGCTCCGCTCCCGCCGCCCCTTCCCGACTCCATTCCCCTCCATTCCCGTTCCCTTCCCGTTCCATTCCCGGACCATGGAGGAGCCCTGCGGCGCGGGCGCCGCTGCCCCGCTGAGGGGAGACGCCGAGGAGCCCAAGCAGGTGAGCGGCGCTGAGGGGGGGCCGTGCTGGGTGAGGTAGAGGGGCTGAGGGGGGGTCGAGCGGTGCCTACAGACACAACCCCTAGTGGTGTTTTAATTGAAGCGGTGTTTTTGATCCTCTTTCCAGTTTGTCAGGGCCGGAGTGCTGTAGGGAACACGCTAATTATGATTAAGCGTTAATTGCGAGCAGTGTTGCTGTTGTTATGCCTAAGTGCATTGTATTTACGTAAGTGGTGTCCCGTGGAGCTGTTTTTCCCGCGACATGTGTTAGTTCAAAGCTCCTCTCACACGGGTGACAGCTGCATGTTTGAAAAGAAATAGGCAAACACTAAGCTTATTTAATTTATTATTATTTAATAATAATAAGGTAGAAGCCTGTTTAGCTTTAATGTTAGTATTAGGGAACACTTGGTGTTAATAACCACCTACTTTCACAAACTTCAGTGGGAGGAGTCGTGTTCGTTTTAGCCTTTCTGACTGACTGTGTGTTGTGTGGGCAGCTGACCTTAGTGGCACCTCATTCTCGTACCTCAGGTGGGCAAGGAGGCCACTGTCACCTGCTTGGATCAGCCACAGTGTGGCCAAAGGACCAGGACAGGGGTTGTCCCCCTGCGTGTCCCACTGTTGAGGTCCAGCCTCACATTCTGGGCTTGGTTCTGGGGCTTTATGTCAGGAAAGACATTGAGGGGCTGGAGTGTGTGCAGGGAAGGGAATGGAGCCGGGGAAGGCTCTGGAGCCCCAGGATCAGCTGAGGGAGCTGGGAAGGGGCTCAGCTGGAGAACAGGGGGATCAGGGGGGATCTGGTGGCTCTGCACAGCTCCTGCCAGGAGGGGACAGCCAGGGGGTCGGGCTCTGCTCCCAGGGAACAGGGAATGGGCTCAGGCTGGGCCAGGGAGCCTCAGGGTGGACACCAGGAAGAATTCCTTCATGGAAATAAATGATTGTCAAACGTTGGAATAGACTGAGGGAGTCCCCATCCCTGGAGGTGTGCAAGGAAGGACTGGATGTGCTGTTCATTGGTCCATCACAGATTGGACTTGATAATCTTGGAAATCTTTTCCAACCTAAATGATTCTGTGGTAATTCATAAAGTGAAGCTTATGCTTGACATGAATTGGAATTGGGATAACTGGAAAACTGTATGTGCTGGGGAAAGGTGAGTGATTTTAGGACTGGATTTTGCTCACTTAGCCTTAAAAATAACTTATTACAGAACAAGCTTGATAGTTTTAATTGCCAGCACTTAAGCAGAAGGTAATTTCTCTCTGGAAAGCAGGGCTCGGTGCTGTTCCTCGGAGGCAATGAGGTGAAGAGCTGTGCTGTGGTGAAATACTCCTCAGCCCCTCCTCAGGCAGCCTTTGCCCGACTGCAGGAGAAAACAGACCTGAAGCTGCCTCCTGCCAACTGGTTACGGGAAAGTGCCAAGCTGGGACCAGCAGGGACAACCATTCTGGGCAACAGCAAAAAGAGTAAACCCTTCTCAAGGTAAATAACAACAGCCCCTATTTTTTTTTCCAGGCCTTTAAGAATAATTGTGATTGTGAACTTTGATCCTGTACCATTTAAAGTAGAAAGTACAGGTTTTACCATAGCAACTCCATATTGCTTTGTCTTAACCCTTCTCCCTCTAGTTTTTCGCCTTGAGCTGTTGCCTCTATGGTCTGATCTTGTCTCATTAGTGAATGATTGATGATATTGATTATTTACATAACATACAGAGATGGTTTGGTTTGTTTGCTCACGTGCACGTTAACACCTTGCCTCAGACAGTCAAAGTGACTTTTTTGTTCCTCCCTGGTTGGCTCAGATCAAACTGGATGGTTCAGCCAGCCCTCCTGCCTTTGATAACAGGTGAAATAGAACATGTGGTTGGTTCCTCTTGGAAACCAATTTAGGGCTCTTCTGGATCTTTAGAAACTGAACCTGACCAATACAAATCAAATTCTGTATTTCTAGCAGGATTTCATATTTCTGTCACACTGTAGGTGAAATGAGGGGCACACCCTAGCAGCAGTGTTGCCTTTCAGTGTGGATGTTTGCTGAACTGTTGAATGAGTTGAGTTCACAGTGTTCATAAACAGGAGGCTCAAATCCTGTGCTGAACAAGCAAATTCACACCAAGTCAGTCAGTCAGTGAAATTTAACAGTTTGTTCAAGGTCTGTGTTTATATCCTCATTATCTCTTTTAGGAGCTGTGCTTTTCAGAGCAGAGTAACATATTTTTCAGGGCTTTATGAATGTTTCATGTTTATTTTAGATACTCTGATTGTCAAATAGAGGCTGGCAGTTCAATCTCTTTTCCTAGTGTCAGTATTAAAAAGCTGATAACAAAAGTATAACTTGCACATCATGTATGTTTTGGATTTTAGTGGTATCTGGATTTGTTTTAAAGAATGACCTGTACATTGAAATATTCCAGCTTAAGTACCTTGTAATTTCCTTCACGAGGGTGGAGGAAGAGACAATGTGTCTGTTACAACATGTAGGGCAGTTCTGGAAAATGTGAATAAGAGGTAAAATTCAATTACAGCTACTAAAATTAAAGTCTTTAATATGCTTAATGCCTTACAGAGAAACTCCTTGAAGAACTCTTATTTTCAGTGTTAGAAAGAATCTTTCATTTTCTCTGATTTTTCTTGATTTCCACAAGACTTTAAGTGTTGTAGAATGTCCTGGAATTAGATCTAAGCACTTTCAAAGATATATTTGAAAAACTTGCAGAATATGAAGATGAAATTACAATTTTTTTAAATTTTATTTTATGAAGCCATTCAAAGATTAAATAGATATAAAAGCCAGGTCTGTAATGTCACACTGGAACTGTCTTAATTTTATTTTTTTTTAATAGTTTTGGGATGGCCTATGACTTCATTGACTCAGTTGGAAATGATGTGGATGTTGTATCTGATTCAGAGGTATGGACACATCCTAAATTCTCTCATTCAAATTCTTACATTGCATAAACTTTTATTTTAAGATACTGTGATGGCTTCTGGCATCTTTGTGTCCTTTGGGGAAAAGGAAAGATCCCTTAATGAATCACAGATCACCAAGTAATTGTGGTCACTGAATAAGAAATGTAGAGAGAAAAGTCATATTTCCTCAGGAGTTCTACAGGTAATCTGCAGCTAAAGTGTGCAGTTTAGTGAATGCAGCACATCAGTCTTTTGTGTTTGAAATCAGTTATTTTGATGCTAACTTGTTACTCTCAAGATGTTTCTTTTCTATTCTTGTCTAGAAGAGAGAGCTCCCTTCCAACTTCTCTTTTCATTTGATTTTTGTCAGTTTGTCAGCTCTTTTGGTGCTGGTAATACCTGTAGAATTCAGATGAGGCTGCTCAGAAGAGGA